GTACCTAACTCCCTCATTATTTGTTTGAGTCGTCCATTTTGTCCACGCGTAAATAGACACTATTTTATTGCTTGTAGATTTGGAGACATTTGTTTGTGAATGTACTATTGATATTTTGCTAATCCGCTCACGTTATAGAACCGTGTTTTCTTCTACAAGTTCTGTTTTCACCTGCGATAGGCACGAAGTAAGCCAAATCAGGCGAACCGACAGTTTAAAGACAGCCAGATCAACAGAATTCTAGGGGACTTATTCGAACGGGCTACCAGTTGGCTGCCGAATATATCTTACAGGTCGAATGAGCACTGAAGTGGGAACGCCTAAACCCCTGCAGATGACAGGCCTTACAAGGCCGAAAGGGAAATATCCCTTGGAGATCAGGAGAGATCTGTACAAGAGAAAAACAGTAGTCTTAGGCAAGCTTAACTAAAAGCATCATCTCACAGAGGCAAGTGGACTATTTTCAGATCACCTCAACAGTAGTTCTATGCAAACTTTAAAGGAGGATCAAGTTATGGGAGCAAGAAATCGAGGGGAGGGGGTTGGGTGGATAATTATTTGAATGCTACTTTACTTCAGGTCTACCTGTTGTTTCACTCACAACTGAAAAATGAAAATACATACAGATGAGACGAGTATGTATGATTCTTAGGTTAAGATCCTATGATAGACACCAATTACTGGTTAGAAGAGGCTTGTCTTATTAATGAATAGTTTGTAAAGGAAATAACAAGACTTCCGCTCAACAAACCAATGATATAAAACCTCACAAGGTACACCAGAGCGATGAACTACATTTCAAAGATTTGGATGGATCAGGTGATCAGGTAAAGTGGACGGCATGTTCGCCACATCTGAACGCCCTTAATTCTGGTTGCATATTGAGGACACAGAGCTATTTAGTTCAAACTAGAAACGCAAACCACCTGGCCTGTCTATGGACTGCTTGAAGGAACGCGTCAATACACCGCCCTTACTGCACGGCACATTGAACTATGCATATCTAATTAGGGACACGCCAAGCTCAGCACATCATGTAAGGTCACTGGCACATATCATTTACCATAATGGAAAGTCCATAAACCAGCAGCTATGCATACTGCCCCTGTGATTGCTGAGTTCAGGGCTACACTGAATAATGCAGCAGGGCAGCAGCCCCTCCCCCGCTCCATTACCATCACTGGCGACACCTCACGAACATCGCCAGCCCCCCCCCCTC